AAAAAAAAATAGTTAAAAAAATAATAAAAATAACAGAGAACTAAAACCCAGATTCTTTTTCTTTATCTCATGTAATGAGTTAACTGTGTTAAGCAAACTGTGATGTCCCTTTTGAGGTTATCTAACTTCACTTCATATCCAAAGACCCATCTTTCATCAGTTTCAAGCTTAGACTGTTATAGCGTTCGCGCGAATATTGTCTCGAAACCTTTCTCCAATCAGTGCCAGCTTTCATCATAGCTGCAAATTCGTCGTAACTTATTCACCCGTCCTGTAGAACAAAAAGAATTTAATCCGGGCTTTTTCACAAATTAGTGCAACTTACACGTCGCTATCAATATAAGTTTTCTTTAATTTTTTTTTTATTTCTTATTATTTAACGGAATGTAGAATGCAAATTAACAGACCTTCCTTACCGAAGAGATGCTCAGTCGCTATCAGTTTGTCTGGTCGATGAAATCCTATTGAACTTATCCAGAGCTATAATAAGACATGCACCCGCAGGGAGGTCTCGATAGAAAGGGGATGAAAAGCAAGGCGGTTGGGGAGATCCCAAGTGAAGTAAAGAAGTCTACCATCAGTGTATTTGTCCATCCATGCCGTGTTGACAATGAACCTATCCAGCTTCTCAGCAACATTACCCCGAGACCATGTGAAACGGTTGTCCATGGCATTGAGCTCACACAGCTGATGATCATTAATCCAGTTACGGAACTCTTCGCTAACGTTACACCTAAGATGCGACCCTCCAATCTTCTCAGACCGTCTCATGAGGCAATTGAAATCGCCACCGATAACCCACGGACGGCGAGTCAAAGTCTTGAATAATGGCGTTAATAACCTCCTCGCTTATTGCCTCCGCGTCATCAGCAAAGGCATTCCTCAGCTCTTCGATTTCTATGTATCCACTCTTGTTTTTATCAAAGAAATCGAAGGCTTTCTTTAGATGCTCGTCATTGCCCATTTTCTTCAAGTGTACAGATATCGCAACAAACTCTCCACAATCGAGATATCCATCTTTATCCACATCACCCTGTTACAAAATTAAAACTTGTTACATCAGTAAAAGGAAGAAAAAAAAAACGCGAGACCAATTTCGGGAGAATATGAAAGAGAGAGCTTAGCTTCTTATGAACTTCGGTTATTTTCAAAGATTGAGAAGAAATAAAAATAACTCACAGCTTCCATAAGGGCTTGAAGATCGGCTTCAGGGATTTGATGCCCAAGCTTGTGAAGCCTTACTCTCAATTCATTAATGTCGATTTTAAATTGAAATTTCTCCTTGATCCCAGCCACTTCTTCCACAGACAAATGCTCGGCAATCACCTGAATTCGGAAAAAGCAATTCAACAACGAATAATTATACACAAGACAAAATTTGATCAAACAGACGTAAATTTTGTTGTAAATTATTATTACCGTCAGAGCTCTTTTCTTTAGCTTATTCATCCTAGAGAATTGTTAAAGCCTATATCTCACAGTTTCGCCTAAAGAAACATTAGGAGCACTCTTTGCATTCTGTAACCAAGGATGATCTGAAACAAAGTAGTTCCAAACATGGATAAAGAAAAATATTTTGATGTGAAAAAAAGAATATCTTTTTCTCCAAGAGATATCTAAGTTAACCTAGAACTTCTTAAGTTGTAAGCCGCTGTTTGGGGTCCGGGTTGAGCATCTTCTTCGCAAGATCTTTTGCCCAGTCAGAAACTTTAGGCCAAGGATCTCTTCTGAAATCCACCACCGAACGCATGATTGCTTGGGCAACACCTTGTTCAGTTTCTGTGAATTAAGATTACAATTTATATCAACAATATTATGCAAAAAATGGGAGAAATAACTGCATAAACATTAGCCCATGTTTGTGCAGGAGTGAGTAAATCATTATTTCTCATACTTGCTTCAGACACCTCTAAAAAACATACCAGAAACTAAACTATTAGTAATTCAATAACAACACAAAATAGAACTGCATTTTTTATCACATTTTATTATTTAATATTATTAATTTATTTTGGCAGATATAGGGCAACAGTGATGGATTCTCAATATAGATTAGAAGAACTGACCAGCCTAAAAAGGGGGAAAACCACACAATAAAATGTAGAGAATAACACACGCACTCCAAACATCGACTTCAGGTCCGTAATTTCTTTTGAGCACCTCTGGAGCCATATAATAATGACTCCCCACAATCTCGTTTAATCTCTCACCTGTAAATTTTCCGTAAAAATTAGTTAGAACAATGAGAAGGGTAAATTTACAAGTAGACAGGTAGTGCTGGACATTACCTGGCTTGAAAAAAACTGATAACCCAATGTTGATGGCCTTAAGCGGCAACGTTCCCTTTTTGTTTGCGAATAAGAAATTTTCAGGCTTGAGATCATGATGCATCACACCATGATTATGGCAATTCTGTAAAGAAAATCAAGTTATTTGAGTACCTCCTCTTCCTTTTTAGTTTAGAGCTTGAATGCGTGAAAAATGTAACTTTTTACATAAGTGTCCAGATAGCAGATA